CACACCTGCCAGAATCACAACAACTCCCAATCCTACTGGGAGAAGGGGGAGGGAACTCAGTTGAACTGGCAGTCCAGTATGTGATCTCCTGTCACAGTGAACAGTGAACGTGTCTCTCAATAATGCTCCATATGTTTGTATGTAAATGTATTACGATGTGTCTATATTGGAAATGTCTATAGATTTTATAGACATTTCCAATTGTATATATAGACATATATATTTATATTATAGACATTTCTAATTGTATATACTTTGGCAACACTGATTTATTCATTGGTCATGCCAATAAACCTCTATGAATTGAATTGAGAGACAGAAGGAATTCCCTTTCCCTGAATCTTGTCTTTGGGTTATGAATCAGTCATACACCAGGTGGCAGCAGTCAAACACACAGCGTCACGGTACAGGAAGGCACAATATACTTAAACACACAAACTGTAATCCAGTACTTAATCCAGAATAGGACAGAATAAAATGATTCCGAAGTAATCAGGGTGCTTTCAGAAGGTTTGAGATATCTCTGTCTCATCTGTGTAAAATGGAATGTATGCTGGTGCTACAAACGAAAGGAAACCATTGAACCTATCCAGCCCGTTTGGTAACTAGTAGCTAACTGATCCACGGATCCGACTCAGCTGTTGGAAGAGACACGTTTTTAAAACATGCACCAGTGTCCTGATTGCAAGACACGCTGCCACTTTGTCTCAATATAACATTTGTTATGGTCAATTTTGTCCGCAACAAAATTTGCAGAGCTTAGAGGTCAGAGGTTAAGCACATCAGCATGGGGGGAGGGGTGATTAATTTATAAAGACAAGCAAATTGAATTCATTAAAATGAATAATTATTTCACTGATGCATTCACAAGTACAAAGAATACAACTGTGCCAGCTGTTGTGGAGGACATCCAAGTTCAAAGGCTTTCACTACATACAAAGCTCTCGGTGATCGCTGGTAGCTACTGTGTCTCTCAGAGCTGCACTGTATCGCCTGATGAGTTCTGATTGCTTCGTTTTTACTGTACGGAGGAGCAAACTGACACGCTGCTCTCACCCTGTAGAGACAATCGGCAAGTCCCGCTCGGGGGCCGTGCAGTGGTGCACCACGGGTCACTTCGAGATGAACAAGTGTGACGACTGGGCCATCAACAGCGTGGCGGCCAAGAGCCGCACGAGAGTGGAGTGTGCGAGGGAGGCGACGGTGGAGGACTGCGTGAAGAAGATCATGGTGAGCTTCCTCCAGGGGGCGCTAGAGGGCCAGGTGTCTCTGGATTCCCATGTCCTGTGCTAGAAGCCCTTGAAATTAGAAAGGAAACTTTTTTTTTTCTCTCCATAATTTTGTGTAACAGAAAACCATCAAATAGATCCAGAGATAAAGATGATTTAATCTTGACGTGAATCAAACCTACACAGACCAATTCATTCAGGCACCCTGTTCCTTGTTTTATGGGGAAGAGTAGTTGCTAAAAACACAGAACAAGTTGGGAGCTGCGTCAGCATGCGTAGGCTGCAAAGGAACAGGTAAAGGTTTTTTCCACAGTGAAAAGAAAAGAGACACAACATTTTGGCTGAAGAAGGCTGCACAGCCGAAATGTTGTGTTTTTCAGTGTGGAATAAACCTTTACCTGTTCCCAAAAATACCAAACTACTGGCAATCTCATCGGAGCCTTGGCCATCAACCTCTTCTTGGCCTTTTGCTGTATGGAAATACAGTAGTTTGTTTAAAAAAAATCTTAATTAAAAAAAATCTTAATTGTCACCTGCACTCCCTGTCTCACTAAATGACTTCCTGTTTCCTTCTCAGCGTGGAGATGCAGATGCCATTTCTTTGGATGGAGGGGAGATCTATTCTGCAGGGAAGTGTGGCCTGATACCCGCCATGGTAGAACAGTACGATGCAGGTAAGATGTGGGCATCCAGTTCATTGCATCTGTGTAGTTTCTCCGTATCATCTTTACAGCATGGGTTGTCATGGAGCATTCAGTGTAAATCAGGAACAACAATTCATGCTTTACAATGCAGGATATTAGCATTAAAACAGTGATCACTGTCAAACAACAAGAGGGTTGAAATGATCCAGGCTGTTAGCACATAATTAGCTAAGAGTGTTGAAAAAAATCATTCAGTAGTTCATGAGTTGAAACACATACAGTAGATAAGGCTTCATACATTACAGTCATGCATCAGATCCGAGTTCAGAATTTGTAGGCAGTGAAGGAGTTGATTAGAAAGGTAACTAAGGAAGTTAGGGGTTGCTATTTGTGTATTTAGATTTGTGCATGCAGGCTCCAGTCAGGGAAGAGATAAGTATGTGTAGTACTTGTGCTGTTTGATTGCTGGAGTTTTGTTTAAATTAATTGCTTGTGACATGCTTTTGGTTTTTCGGTTTTGGTTGCTAGCAACAGCTTTGCTATTAAAATTGTGGAGTACAGAAACCCTGCTGGAAGGAGAAAACTTTTAGTGCCAAAATTAACAAAATAAACAAAAGAATAACTACTATTTTGTGCTAATAGTTAATATTGTCCTATGAACAGTCTGAGAATCTTGAACACTTCAGGTTAAGTCAGCTTCAAGAGAGGATTATATTAAGTGTAGAATTTTCTTGGTACTCTTTCGAATACTGACTCCTTTTCTGTTTCTCTTTACAGATCAATGCAAAGTATCAGGAGCGACAGGTAACACTGTCAGTTTTCAAGTGATTGATTAAAATATGCAGTTTAAAAATGCAAATGATTAATTGATAACTGTGAACAACAGAGCACAAAGAATGTTTGCCTCAGTATAATTGAAAGCATTATGGTCAATTGAGCATTGAAGAATACTTCCCATCTTGTGCAGAGTGTGAATTTAAAACTTTAGAACTTTCAGGGCATGAGAGCTTTACATTGCAAAGAATCCAATTTACAGGGGCACTTCAATAGAGAAAGAAACAAAACTTCTCATGGCCAGGGGGACCTTTAAGGGGCCACAACCAAAAAAGACCCTCTCCTGAACACAGGCTGAGCTCTGTGATAACATGTTCGAACCTGGGTCATGTCACTAGCCAATCCTTACCATGTGACACACCAGGCAGTGGGATTAGTCTCCCAGGCCTTTCTTGGCTCTCAGGAACACAACGACTCCTATGGCCTTCTTGGCTATTGTTGGGCTGAGGTGCTGTTGGTAAGGGACACACTTCTGATCCTCCAGTAGGGGGCAGTGCTGTTGTAATTTGGTTAAAAAAAAAAGGTGTCACAGGGGCTATTCCACATCAAGTGGGTGTAGCCAAGATCACTGGACATTCAAATTGTAAATAAAAGTGGTTATAAATAAGTAGTACCGCTAATTTTGTTAACCGTATTGTTATGAGCCTGCTCGGGCATGGCATCTGTTCATAGTAACACCTAGTATCATGGTTAGAGACAGCTGTGGTAATCGTCAAGTCATACAAACATACAAACATTTGTGCATTTTTGTACATTTCTTAATTTTTTATTTTTCATTCAGATTTCTGACAACAATGACCTGAAGATCAGTTTATTAACTGATTCCCCTTAAGGTGCCATAATTATTTTGTATTTCCTCTCGATATGGCATTGCTCAGTATCTTCCCAAACTGCATAATAAAAAAATGAAATGCCAAGCTGATTGCCAAAGGAATTGTCTCCTCTTCATCTAGAGAAAATTTTCAAACGTGGCTGTGATGGAGGTCTTTTTGTACATCTTATAAAGGTGTAGCCAAAGCTTCTGCATACTCACTCAGCTCTTTTTCTCTTTATTATCAGGCTCTTACTTTGCAGTGGCTGTGGTAAAGAAAGGCTCAGGGCTCACCTGGAAGACTCTGAAAGGAAAGAAATCATGCCACACTGGAATAGGACGCACTGCAGGATGGAATGTGCCCATGGGTCTAATTCATAAAGAGATCCGCAGTTGCAACTTCTGTAAGTGCCCATCTGTTTATATGTTTCACACAGATTCCCTGAGTGAAGCCTCCCATTTCCACTGTTTCATCTTAGCCCCTACGGTTTCTTTTCTTTGTCACAGCCTGTCTCTTTGTGAAACCCTCTCTCCCAGTATCAGATCATTTCCTGTTTTTAGGCTTATGTGGAGGCATTGTTGACTGGATTTCTGGGATTCAATGACCACCTCACATTTAAAAAGCATTCAAGCACACTCTGGCCTTGACATTTCAAGGTTTAATAATAATAACATTACTTTATTAACCCTTTACAATTTCTTGCATTAGGAATTATCTTTTTGCATACCCCAGCTTGCTCTCCATGAGACACACAGATAGGGAGAGAGCCTGGGGTCAGAGCACAGGGTCTGCCATTGTACAGCACCCCTGGAGCAGTTGGGGTTAAGGGCCTTGCTCAGGAGCCCAACGGAGTAGGATTCCTCTGCTGGCTGTGGGATTTGAACCAGCAACCTTCCAGCCACAGGCACAGATCCTTAGCCACAGAGCCGCCACCCCGCCCCCATTATAAGCGACCGGAGACAAGAACTCATGTATGGAAAGCTAGCGTTCCAAACTTTAAGTGGTTAATGAAGCTTTAGGCCATACAAGCTTCTGTTTTAACATCATGAGACACATAAAAACTAAGTGTGCAACAGCCTTCACTTCCTGATACCTGCTATCCAGTATGATGGAGTAATTCAGGAGATGAAGTGCAGAATCTAGTCCTGGTTGTTTGATCTCATTGACGTAGGAAGGTGTTTCTCTGCTGGTTAGATAGGCAGATTACATTGATACGCGTAGGATGACGTTGACTGCAAAATTGCTAACAGAGACGTTTGTGTTTCAGCAGCAATACAGAACGTCTGCTTCTGGTGCAGGGGAGTCTAAATTTAAATCACGAGTAAATGAGAGATTTTCAGCCTAAATTACTGTAATACTTTCCAACACCTCACTCTCAAAAGGACGACTGAATTAGTCTACTGAGAAGCATAACTGAGTTTGGATCTGAACATTTGCCGTCACATGGGTCTGTGTGCATTTGCTAATAAGTTGGCATTTGTTTCTAACAGCGGACTACTTCAGTCAGAGCTGTGCTCCCGGGGCAAAGAAAGGCTCCAGCCTCTGTGCTCTGTGTGTTGGCAGCGGTAAGAAAGTTGGAGAGACAAACAAATGTGTCGCCAGCAGTGAAGAGAATTATTATGGATACACTGGAGCATTCAGGTAGGAACCAGCTGACTGCTTGAACAAAACCCTTATTCAAGTTCTTTTTAAGCTCACACAGCAGTAAATTGTAAAAAGAAGGTTAGCAAAGTCCTGGCCATTAAGCCAAAGTCCAGATCTTAATGTAATACTGTTTTCTAGGCTGTTATGCAGTAGTCAATAAGTCCTGTGTAAGCTTGTTAAAATCTGCTGTGTTTATGTGCACTTGCAGTCTCAAGCATACTCTTTTGTACAGCTGCTATCTTTTAACTGACTTGCTCCCTCTCTTATCCAAAATCCTGTTCATTTAACAGTTTGTCCGCCCCCATTGACTCTGAGATAAACAAGGTGATGCTGTACAAATTTAAGAACCTGGTGGTGCAATGAAACTGAAGAGGGAGAAATTTTGTTTTTTTCAGATACGTTGAAAATACTATACAGTTTAAAATGAATAAAGAGGTGGAAGTGTAAGAATATGTGGGATCTGGTTGTTTTTTACTCCAGCCTTTCATTTTCTGTGGCTTTTCTCTGGTTCAGGTGTCTGGTGGAAGGCGGGGGAGATGTTGCCTTTGTGAAGCACACCACTGTGGAGGAGAACACTGCAGGTGATACCCTGCCCACGGCCCTTTCTAAACTTCAAAATCTCCCTTTAGAGTTATGCCTTGCTAAGTGTTTAAAGTGTTGCTGAAAGTGTTGCAGCTGCATTTCACATTTGAGAACTGAAATCGTATTTGCTTTTAGTAATATGCACTGCCTCCTCTTTATTTCCCTAAGGCCGTAATCCTGCTGACTGGGCCAAAAACCTGAAGGCATCTGACTTTGAGTTGCTGTGTCCCACTGGGCCTCCAGTCGCTGCTGTAAACCAGTATAAAACCTGCAACCTGGCGCAGGTGCCCTCCCACGGTGTCATGGTTCGCCCAGAAAGCAGAAGCAAAGTTATCGCTTTTCTGAATGAACAGCAGGTATGATTACCACAGACTATCTGAAACCTTTGATCATGAAAGCCAGTGCCTACAAAAAAAAAACCTATTATGAATGACTTATGTTAGTCTGTACATTACAAGTTGAAATGATGGGTTCCACAATTGATGTACACTGGAACTATATCAGAGTTTTAGTTGGCACCCCAGTAAAATGCTCAGGTTGAAGCCTGTAAGTAATCTGCAAAATTCCCTCAAAATTCCTTTAGAACCATGTTTCTTTAATTGATCAATGACTGACAAGTGTTGATTTAGGTGAGTTGTATGACATAAATGTAACTAATAGCTTTTGTGTCTGAAAACGCAAAGGATCCAGGACAGTTCTTACCACATAATAAACCTCCAAATTGTTCTCAGTTAGAGGAGAGACCCTGGCAGTTTTAAATCAAAATATTCTGTTTCTGTCTTTCCACAGGAACTCTTTGGAAGGGGCAAAAAAGGAAATTTCACTTTATTTACATCAACTGAAGGCAAGAACCTTCTCTTTAAAGACACAACGCAGTGTCTCCAAGAAGTTCCCCTGGGACAAACCTCTAAGGAATTCCTTAAGACAGATTATTATGATGCAGTGACAAAACTCAGCGAGTGCGAAACCTCAGGTGAGTAGAAGCCAGGGAAGCTTGTGGGTCAAAATACTTCATACTGTACATGCACAGTATGGTCAAGAATGAACTGCATGCACATTGTGAAACAGTCATTACTTATATTGCAAATAGGAATTGTGTGATTAAAATGCAATCCCTGGACAGCAATAAAATCATTGCCCCACTGCTTTAAATTTTTTTAGCCCTTCACAAAAGAATTAGATATGCTCAGTGCTTTACCAATTTAAAATAAGTGTTACCCCAGAACAGCAGAACCACAAATTAATGTAAACAGTATATTGTTGCTTTAAGTACTGTAAGTAGATTTCCTTATTTCATTGTGAAACACACTGCAGTGTGATTGGCAAGCTCCTTGTCTGACACTCTGATCTTATTCTTCTGAACCATGATCCATAAGGTTACACAGACGTATGGGTCATGGTTCAGAACGACTACGTGACGTTTGTTCGCAACATGCAGTGTCATCACTCAGATATGATTCTCACACAAAATAGCTGTTCAGAACCACTTATGTTTTTTTTTGCGGGTGTCAAACATTGCAAATCTGACAGTCAGTCAAGTGTCTTCTTGATAAACTGAAGCCTCTACACGGGGATGAAAAGGAGAAAGCTAGTTACTTAGCGTGCACAAATAAAAAAAAACAGAGGGCCAAGCAGAACATGAGTCTCAGTACATAAACATAGTATCTTATTTTATGACATCACAATTCTTTCAGAGATTAATTTAGTGTTTTTATCCAAGCACACATGAAAGGCAAGTGAACACTGCAACTCTTGTAGTTGCCCATGCTGTCGTTGTCTGAAACAGGGTTCCAAGCCAAGAGGAAAGCACTCTGGGCTCTTTCAAGAAACTGCTGGAGGAAGTTTTAGTTTTGTTTAGCTGATAAACCTCTAACAAGCTAAATGGGCATTGCTGCCTCTCACTACTGGGGCCTTGATGGAATTGTAGACCTGGAGTGCTATCTGTGTTTGTATGTTCTCCCTGTGTTCTTGTAGGTTTCCTCCCACTATCGAAAGACATGCTTGTATGTTAACTGGCTTCTGGGAAAATTGGCCTTGGTGTGAGTGCGTCATGCATCTTTATCTATGTGTGCCCTGTGATGGACTGGGGTCCTGTCAGGGGTGTATCCTGTCTTGCACTTGTTCCTTGCCCGGATAGATTCTGGCTCCCCTGCAACCCTGAATTGGATAAAACAGTTTAGAGAACGGATGGATAACCAACAGCAGCAGGACCAACAAAGCAATTGCTGCTGTGCAAGTGAATATTACAGCAACTGGAGAGAAGCCATCCATGATAGAAATTAGTCGTTTGCGCTGCAACTCTTTGTTGCTGTGCTCAGGTTACACACTTTCTGTTTCTGACATTTTCTGTGGGGGGGTTGCAAGAAATGTTTTTGTATTTTTCTAGGGAACCTGGTCTTAAATTATTTTTCCTTTTCAATCCAGAACTCGTGAAAAGTTGCACCTTCCACACCTGTCAGAAGCATTGAAGTGGAGCTCTACCAACCCTGCAAGAAAGCTGCAAGAAACCACTCCCATAAGCATCATGGAGTGGTTTGTTTTGCTGAAATTAGTTGTCCGGTAGAAAATAAAAACATAAAGCATTTTCCAACGCTTATCTGTTTATTTGTTGTACTCATTCTTTATGCATCAAAACAAAATTACTTTCTTTCACCAAGGTTAGTTTGTGCTCTATTAGAAGCAGAAGAAATGAATCAATTTAAAGGCATGCAATGTATGTTTTTTTGCTGTATATGGAACTAAACCTGCCTTGAATATCCTCCTCCAAAACACCCTGGAAGTCTGCATGCATCTACAAGTGCAGAGAATGGTAGTGCCCAATATTCTCACTCCTGCATCATGTTGGAGATGAATCTTGGAGGACAATTACACTTGGAATGTGCAACGTGCAATGTTCGCACATTGGCTGTTCAGTAAAGATACTGCACAAAGTCACGTTCATCCCCGTGGATAAAGCATTTTTTAAAAAATATTCCTGCAGCACTTGTGGAATAAAAACACCCCAAAAAGGGTTAGGTTATGTCATCTAATTTTGTAATCTAATCTTTGCTGTTGGGAAATTGAAGTCCCACCCATTCTTGCAATGCATTGTGTGAATAAATTAGATTGTGTGCAGTTTTACTGCTTCGATGTGACTGCATTCCAACCAGTATGAGGAGGCGAGAGTTGGTAAAGAACATCAAATAAAGATAGGAGCCTGTAACAGTATTGAAGGTGCAATCCCGAAGGGATCTACATTATGATTTGTAAAACCTGACCTCATTCTAAATTTGCTCTTTGCAGAGATGGAAACCCATTGTATGTGACATTTTAGGAATAACTGAAAGGCGAGGAAAACTTTGTCAAAACCAGAACATGTACAGTACACATGCACAATGGCTAATGCGATGACCACATCTTAAAACTACACATTCATGGTAACAGTAGAAAGAGGACGGAGCTGTACTCAAAGGACAAAACCTTCCTGCAAATGCTGGACTTCAGAGCACCACAGGGAGGGACACACTTTATGCACATCTTTTTGGGTGCTCTCCAGAAAATGGTGTCTTTCGTAACAAATTAAAACTAATTTCAAACCTTCACTAAACTAATCTGTGACCTCTTACATCTTCTACATGTAAACAGAAATGAAAAAAGAGTTTTGTTGATACTAATAAATATCTGAACCGGAGGCAGCTACAAAGTGCTTAAACAGCAGTCTGAGGGGACGAATGTTGTAAAATCCTGACAAAATGGAAGATAAACAACAGCGAATAAGAAACCAACCAGTGAGAGGTGCATGCATTCAGGTGTGGCTGCTTTCTGTTTTAGCTTTGAACACAGTATTTTTGTTTTGATAAAGTACATTATTTTTAGAATCAATAGTTATCAGAGAGAGAAAGCTGCATTTTGTAGCACACCAGTGCATGGAAGATAAAACAAATGACATATTGTCAGGCATTTTAGTTTTGGTTAAGAACTGAGCAGCTGAAACTTATCGTTTAATACACCAGTACACGCTGTTACAACATTATAAAATATAATGTTTATAAGTTTCTATTTCTACAGAATGCTAAATTTACAAATAAGCATTCCATTAAAGAGCACCATAAGTTTT